ATAGGGAATGGTTGGTGGCAGCTTAGTGTAACTGTGTGACAGGTCCCAGTAGGTCTGGGTTTGTCACAGTATACATCTCTTGAGCTAGCCTCACCGTTACCTTTGCATGTCAAGCAACATTTGCTCTTCCTTTGGTAAGCTAATTGCTTGCATATTTGTTTATTCTTTTAAAATTAAAAATCACATCTTGCTCTGTCTTGTTAAAAGACAGATCAACATGCAATCTTGAAAAAGGTTCCAACTCTACTACTACTACTACTACAGTACTACTACTACTACTGTCATTATTGTTGTTGCTATACTAGCTGCTGCCGCCACCACCATTAAGAGAAAAACCCTTTGGTAAACAACAAAAATGTACAGTTGATGCTGTATCTTCTCACAAAGTAAGAACATTCAGACCATAGCTCAACCTGTCTTCTCACTCAAAACACAGGCACATTGATGCACCCTTCTTGTACCCTAACTTCTACCCCAGATAAACATGGAAAATGACCACTATCCTTTGATTTCCTAATTGTAAAACCTTCTGCTGGCCGAGAATTAATCCCCTTAAACACAAGAAGACTTGCTTCCCCCAAATATAGATCAATAGGACTGTGCTAGCAAACATTGTGTAACTATGGGCGGTACTGTTCTGCAAATCAGCTGTCTCTGGATGTTAGTATCACCAAAGCCAATGTTAATTCCAGCTGTTCCATGCCACTGGTGCTTCACTATATAGGAACTGGGACAGCTAGTGGGATTATGTTGTAAAAAAAAACAAACACCAGTGTCTTCCAATCAGTTCTAGTTAGATCTCTAAGAAAACCCTAACTACTAAGAAGGAAAATGGAATTTACATTTAATCCTATGCATTAAAGACAAAAGTCCTTCATACTCATAAATCTATCCCTTGGCTGCTCCAAGGTTTTCACCAGGAAACACGTCTTGGCATCAGATATGTACCCTCGGCAGTTAGTACTATCCAAGGGCAGGAGGAGTGTGGAATAAAGTATTTTTAACCCATTATTCCCCCTGCGTATTTTACATTGAAAGAAAAATTCCATGAGCCCTCAGGGTGAGGCATAGCCTCAGTCAGCAGAGTGCTGGAAGCAGAATGGAGCCGCCACCCACTCACCTCACCTGACAACCACCTACAGAAGTGGGACCTTTTCTTGCACCTTCAGAGCTTGGGCAAGGCATTATTAAAACAGTCATTCAAGTACTGGGCAAACCACGGAGGTGATGATTAGAACAAGGTAGATTCTGTAGCTGGGCTCTTACTCCCGCTCTTCTTTTAGGTCCCTCCCTCCCTTCCTCCCTTGAGAATTGCCATACAGTCAAAGGGGAGGGTCGCAGAGCGGCAGTGAGCGAGCGCTTATGCTCAGCAGCCACCTTGGGTAGCAGGGGAGATTGTGCAGCGTCCGAGGGACAAGTACCGGCTTCAGGCTTTCATGGGATGACAGGGCTCAGAAGCCGATCTGCAGCATCAGTGAGCAATACCACCAATAAAAACTGTCCCCAAAGGAGGAGGTTCTTCATAGGATATGAAAGTTGCTGTTTTCGGGGTGGAGGAACACTACAGGACAAGAATACAGAGGGAAACCGCTGAGATAAAATTTATACGCATGATTGAATATAGGGCAGGGTTTCTTAACTCATTACCAAATACTGTACAATACTTTGTTGTCTACTATTATTTTCCTCACAACGATCAGATCTTTCAGTAAAACTCACAGATAAAAACTGTTAACATTCTCTATACTAACACACATTGTTCCTCTGCTGCCTCCTTTAATCATGTTACTGCTCACAGTTGAGCTTTACACACATTGGTGCTACAGATCAAAAATGCATGGAATGCTACAGTTGCCCACTGCTGATGTAGATCGAATGTTGCTGCCCCATCCTTAGTGTCCAACCAACTTTGGGCTTCCAGATATTTTGAATGACAGCTTTCAAATCCCTAGAGCATAGGCTATGTTGTCAGAGACACTGAGGGATCCAGGGTTAAGAACCCTCTAGTGTAAACAATACAGAGCTTGATGGTCCCACGATCTTTATTGTGGAAGTTCTTTATGTTTTTCTGAGATTGCACGGCTGGGTTGGGTTCAGAAGACAGGAGATGACCGGGAAGATGATCAGCAAGTTCCACTGCTCTGTGAACTGGAAGTACAATGAGCCAGAAGTATTTACTGACTTTCAGTAATGGGCAAAAGACAGACCAGAATCTACTTGGCAATGATGATCACTAGATCTCTTAAGTACTTTCAACTCCCAGTAGGTAAAGCTATAAGATTTGAGATATAAGATTTTAAAAAGGTATATGCTGTGGGCTGATTCTAAATACTTCTCTCGCAGTCTCAGTGTTTGTCATTTGTGACATATAAGTATTAAATTGTGTTCCAGGAATAAGTACAGTATATCGCTTTCGTGAGCTTTGACAGCAGTTAAAGATATATGTATTTAATTTATAGTCCATCTTTTGTCCAATAAACCTCTAGGGCGGCATGTACAGCTCTCCTCCGCTGATGCAGTTTATGATCACAACAACCCTGCATGGTTGGTTAGAAAGGCCTGCCCAAGAGCAGGACATGCCCAAGGTCACTTCATGAATTTTATGTCTCAATGGGAATTAGAATGTGGAACTCCCAGTCCAGCTGTTTAAGGCACACGGGCTCATTGAGCTATGGATTGAGACAAAAGGTCTATGTGAAGCTAAGAGTTACCAAGGATGTTCACCGAAGTAGCTCCTTGCCGTTCATCATAGGCTTCTGCCGAGTGTAGGCAGCTGTCTGTGCACATGCTGAACAGGCTGGGATTTCCTTCTGTGCAACCAGGTAGAGTCATGCCACTAATCCTGCAGCCTCATCAATGCCAAGTAGCAGCACCAGGAAATATAAAACAAAACTGAACAGAAAACAGCCAATAAAACCAAAATACTGTATTTTTCCATGTATAAGACTATACTTTTGTCTAAAATCCTTAGAATAAAAATTGAGGGCCGTCTTATACATGGAAGTAAGCTGAGGAGAGAACAAAAATAAGTGGAAGGGAAAGCAGGGATCAAAGCGATCCTGCAGCGCTTTGATCCGTTTCCCCCTACACTTGCTAAGTCCCACTTAGATGTCTTACTTTTGGGTTAGAAAAGTGGGGGACGTCTTATACACAGAAAAATATGAGTAAATATTATAACTTGAGCTGTTGTTGATGCACCATCCACTTTATCTGATGCATTAAATCTACCTTTAATCACAAGTCTGGCCCTACCACTAGGCAAAGTGAGGCAGCTGCTTCAGATGGTAAACATGGGGGCTGTTCCTGGTATGTTGGGGGACAAAGCTGTGCTCACCACTCAGCCTGTTCTGCACCCTAAATTAATCCCCTGTCCCCTGTATGGTGGAAGATACACCAGCCATCCGCAAGGCTGACATGAGATGCCAATGTCATTTCAGTTGATTTCTGGACATGGAACAAGGAGCAGGCACCACTCTGTCCTTTTGCTCCAGCCAGCAAAATGCTTTTACAACTGGTAGCAGCCTGTGGCTCTGTATGAGGTATTGGACAGCTCAGTGGCTTAAGTCTCTGGCTGCGGAGTCAGGTTGGGAGTTCAATGTGCCTCCTTGACAAGGCCTGGAGCTGATGATCCACAGGGTCCTTTTCCAACTCCGCAGCTCTGTTAGAAGAAGAGGATAAGACATGTTGTTAGTTGCTTGGCTTGACAGCCAGTGTGATCTAGAGCAGTGGTCCCAAACTTTGGGCCTCCAGATGTTCTTGTACTTCAACTCCCAGAAATCATGGCCAGCAGAGGTGGTGGTGAAGGCTTCTGGGAGTTGTAGTCTAAGAACATCTGGAGGCCCAAGGTCGGTGACCACTGAAGGGCAGAGAGTCAGACGAGGATTCAGGAGACTGGGGTTTATCTGGAGGCCCAAGGTTGGTGACCACTGAAGGGCAGAGAGTCAGACCAGGATTCAGGAGACTGGGGTTCGGCTCAGAAGACTGGGGTTCAAACTTACTGCATGGTGGTTAAACCATTGCATTGCTTTGGACTTCAACTCCCAGAAATCATGGCCAGCAGAGGTGGTGGTGAAGGCTTCTGGGAGTTGTAGTCTAAGAACATCTGGAGGCCCAAGGTCGGTGACCACTGAAGGGCAGAGAGTCAGACGAGGATTCAGGAGACTGGGGTTTGGCTCAGAAGACTGGGGTTCAAACTTACTGCATGGTGGTAAGAGTAAACCATTGCTTTGGATGTGTTCATATACCTTGAAAGCCCCAAATAGGGTTGCTGTAAATAAAAAATGTGTTGAAGGCACATAACAGCAACTTCAGCTGCCTGAGACATTTTGGAAAACTGGGATAGAAATGGTTTGTGTGCGTGTCGGGGGTGGGTGGGGGAAGCACAGAGAAAAAGAGAGAGAACCAAATGAAATCCAAAATGAAATCAAAACAGAGAAGGGAAAATGTGAACAAAAGGCAACGGAACTGCTGAGATGCACTTTGTGGCAACTTGGTTAAAGCTTCAGGATATGTAAAACCATCACGGAGTAACTGGCAGGGAGAACACATTCATCCTAAAAATGAAAGGATGCCTCTGGACATGTACAGAATGATTCCTCCCATCCCACTGCTTTGACCCTAGCGATCTCTGCCACAAAGATAAGGATGGTTAGGAAGACTTTCCAGTCCTAGGAAGCAGTTGGCTTTCCCGCAGGGGCAGGACAGTAAACTCATCGGAGGACCTCATACTGGGACGAGAACAGCCCTGGTCCCGGGGTGGCCTCTCCTTGGTTTCCAAAAAGCAGCAGCAGGGAGGAG